CAGAATTGATTGACGAGAGATTCTACCCATAATGCTTTGAGCTGCATGGTAAATCAGTAACGGTGAGATGTTATACACTGTAAAATCTAATTAGTAAGGCTTACTTTAAAAAAAAAAAACATGCAAACCAACTGAAGAAGTGAAATAGGAATATTATGTTGAACTGACAAATGCTTAGTTAGTATAATTCACTTACACCAGAGTTCTAGTAACTAAAAAAGTACTGTAGAGAGTACTTTATAATTTACCTTATATGTACTCTTGACATAAAATGAATAAAATGTAATTGCTACCATTGTTGTGTTTTGCATGCTGAATGTTGAAGTCTGTGTTTGACTCAAGAGGGGTCGATTGCAAGATATTGTCACAAATGTTGAAGGATTACATCAGCCTAATAAAAAACTTAACAAGGTGTTCATGAAAAATGTTAGCAATAAAATTGTAAAATTGTAAAAGTTAGGTCACCTATTTAAAACGACCTATTTATTATTTATCTTTGCTTGTAACCAAATAACTGATTTCATGTTGCATCACTGTATCAATAAGAAGAGAATTACAATAATATAATTACAGTTCCAAGTGCCCAACCAAAGGGAACACTAATCACCCTTGATGGTGAGTTCACACAAAAGCATTTTAAGAAAATCAACATTCATTTATGAAGTCACCTTATGTCATGTTGTCTCAAAAATGTTCAGTTGTATTGACAATTCAACATTCAAGATTACTTTGGGAAAAGAGTGAATGCAACTAGAGAAAGATTACTGCAGAAGTGGAGGAAATGAGTGAAAGTCTATTTTTTTTCTTGACAAAATGGCAACAAAAGAAAGAAAAAAAAGCTTGTTGCACATGCTCTAACCTTCCTTATTTCTTCTTCATTTGTTTTGTTGCACATTAACAGCATATTAGTGCACTGCTGCCTCTCACTGGTGTGTTAATGTCATTGGTTCCTTTGTGGCTACTTGAATATTTTAAGTAAGCGCCACTCAAAGCAGTAAGTAAATTGTTTTATTCGCCTTGAAATTAGCTGAAACTTAATAAAACCTAGTAAGTATAACAACTAAAGATAATTAATTATATCTAAATAAGGTACACTATTGGATTTTACAGTGTAGAGTCTCTTCTTTTCTCTTCATGACATTAATACTGCAGCTGAACTTCTGTCACTGAAGTAACATGTCTGAATAAATGTGTGTAATAAATCCTCATATAGACAGTAAGGTCAGTGTGTGTGTGTGAGAGAGAGTCCTGCTGAGTGATAATGTGTTTCTGTGCTTTTCAATTCAAATGTTCACAGTCAATAAATCATTTTCATTATTCACATTCTGTAGCTCTGGCCCTTTTCAGTGTTTAGTGTTCTTCTGTGTTCCGGTATCACTTTTTTTTTGTCATGCATTTAATTGTTAACAGGATTTTAAAATCTATACGATGTTTAATAGGGAGCCAGTGCAGTGTTGACAGAACCGGGCTAATATGGTCATACTTCCTGGTTCTAGTAAGAACTCTAGCTGCTGCATTTTGGACCAGCTGGAGTTTGTTTATTAAGCGTGCAGAACAACCACCCAATAAAGCATTACAATAATCTAAAGAAACATGGTTTTCGAAGGAAAGATTGCTATCAGATAGCACACCTAGGTTCCTAACTGATGATGAAGAATTGACAGAGCAGCCATCAAGTGTTAGACAGTGTTCTAGGTTATTACATGCAGAGTTTTTAGGTCCTATAATTAACACCTCTGGTTTTTTTTTTTCCAGAATTTAGCAGTAAGAAATTACTAATCATCCAGTTTTTATATCGGCTATGCATTCTGTTCGTTTTCCAAATTGGTATGTTTCGCTGGGCCGCGAAGAAATATAGAGTTGAGTATCATCAGCATAACAGTGAAAGCTAACACCGTGTTTCCTGATGATATCTCCCAAGGGTAACATGTAAAGCGTGAAAAGTAACGGCCCTAGTACTGAGCCTTGAGGTACTCCATACTGCACTTGTGATCGATATGATGCCTCTTCATTCACTGCCACGAATTGATGGCGGTCAGATAAGTACGATTTGAACCATACCATGCTAATCCCCAATTGTAAGTCGCTTTGGAAAAAAAACGTCTGCAAAAATACTACATGTAAATTGTTAACCGTGAAATTAATCTTTATTTGTGTGTGTGAGTGTGTGTTTTCTGCTCACCTGTTCATCTCAATGTTCAGGTATTTGGAAGATTTTGTCATTTTCTTCCTGAATCTCAAGAGTGAATCCAGGGCATCCTCTAATAGCACTAATCTAAAGGTTTCTTTCAGGTCCTTTACAATGTGCCAGTGGGTTTATATTAGCTACAGGTGGTTGGTGTTTCAGTTTCTAAAGGCTGTGTGGCACTTTATATTCAGTGAGTGGAGGTATGTTTGATCAAGGCTCTTTTACAGAGATGAAGGACAGATGAATGGCCATACTGTAGCCTGTGCATTTGCTTCTACGCATCTGCCAGATGCTTTTATACAAAAACATCTTACAGTGCATTCAAGATATATGTTTTATTGATATGTGCCCGCAATATATTGGCATTGCTAGTGCTGTGCTCTACCAGTTAAGAAAAAAGAAAAAAAAAGAAAAACGAAAGTAATATATATATAAAAATAAATATATATTAATAAATATAAATAGTCTGTTAATAGTTCTGGTGTTGCTAATGCCGTGCATTACCAGTTGAGCTAAATAAAAATATCTCACAGTAGATTCATCTCACAGTAGTAATCATTCAGGTCTCAAAAGTAAGCAAAAAATATGAAAATGTAAATATATATTAGAAAGTTACATAAATAACCTTGATGTTGTTGGTGCCACGCTCTACCATGCAGATGTCAAAGGTAAGCAAACAAAATTCTATATATATAAACAATAATAATGTATTTAAAATACATAAGTAAAATATATATATAAAAAAATGTGTATAATTTCTATGTCTAAGAAGTAATTTTCCAGTATCCTTGTGTGTATGCAAACATTAAAATTGCATGAGTTGCATGCATTGACTTTATGGTCTAGGGCTGCAATGACTAAATTGAACTGATACAAATTGATAATTATACTGTATATATAAAAAAAACAGTAATAAATGAATTTTATGATCAGTTAGTTGTTAAGTCACATTTACAGCGACATAAGATCCTTCACGAGTTACGTCACTTTACAGTTGGAAGATTCTCCTCTTTTATGACAAAAATTGAGCATTTTTATGTGATTAATCAGTGAAATTATTTGTACATATTAATGTTTGGATTATTTATTTTCAATTTTAAAAACAGTTATTTGCATTTGATATTGTTCTCAGCATCTGCTGAGTTTGAAGTCTCTTTAATTCCAGAATGACTGCAGGTCACCGTCGTCATGGCAACCGGTTTTACACCTGTTTTTACGCAGCTTTCAGGAATTTTTAACAGGCCGGATTCCATTAACCCGAGCGGCGTCTCGTTCAGAGATTTAGTGCCCTTGAAGAGGAAAACAGCCGGCCTTCATCGACACGACTGACGGGACGACTCAACCAAAACTTACAGCCCAGACTAATTAAGAAAGCAGCGCAGTGTTGATTTCAACAAGCCGGTAAGAGTCTTCTATTGCATGAAAAGTGATTAAAAGTCTGAAAATGTGACAGCACTTTCATTTCTCTCTTATTTTTCAGCACAACTAACCACCTGACATACAGCTGTCATCGGTGTCTGACCGGGTCACGTGATCAAGAAAGAAATCCCATCTTGCATTTCTTCTCATTAAATATCATGTTTCACTTAGAAAAATGTCACAGAAGCAAATGCATTAGATTGTGAATGCATTTCATGTTCATTTGAAATAAAAACTCAGGATCATAGTTTGGTAGTATACATTCAAAGGTTTGGAATAATTGCTTTTTTTTTAAATCCTCACCAAGGTTGCATTTATTTGATAAAATACAGTAAAAATGTGAAATACCTTTACAATTTAAAATAGCTGTTTTCTGTTTGAATGTTCTATTCTTTTACATTTTTATCTTTTTCTGTTTTATTTATTTTAATTTTAGTCTTAGTAATTTTGTTGTGTTTTGTAATTTTTGTTGTCTTTTTTAAAATGTCTATTCTTACTTCTGTAAGTTCTTTTTCATTTTTATATTTTCTGTTTGTTTGTTTTTTAATTTTAGTTAAAGTTTTAGTAATTTTTAGTTGTTGTCATATTTATTAGTTTTTTTATGTATACATAGTTTTTAATTCATTTTTATTTCAGTTTGAATTATTTTAGTACATCGGTTTAAACAAATGAAAAATAAGAAATGTTGTCTTGGCAGTTAACTAAAATAAAATGTTTTTTTTTTTTAAATATGATATTATATCAGTTAACTTTTATTTTATTTCTAGTAACATTTTTAAATATTTTTAATTATATTTTTAGTGAACTATAATGACTCTGTAAATATATTGATGAAAATGTATTCAAATAGAAAAGCTATTTTAAATTTAAATTTTTTTATTTTAATTAAATTTTAAAAATATCAAAATATTACTTTTACTAATTTTTTTCATTTTTACTGTATTTTTGATCAAATAAATGCAGACTTAGTGAGCAGTAGAGACTCAAAAACATTAAACAATCTTAATTGTATTATTTTATTATTAAAATAATATAATATAATTTTATTATATTATCGTATATAACTTCTTACTGGTAGTGTACACACACACACACACACACACACATATATATATATAGAGAGAGAGAGAGAGAGAGAGAGATTATTTATGATTAACTGCTCTTCGTCTGTCAAATACTGTGTAATATAATGTAATGTAATGTAATATAATATAATATAATGTAATGTAATGTAATATAATATAATTATTTTAATTGATTTAAAATAGTGTGTTCTAGTGAAGCACACGATCAGTTTTGCAGTGAATGTGATGCAGTTTTGTGTCTCTTGGCTCTGGTGATCTGTGATCAGTGTGATCTCTCTCGGAGAGCGATGCAGTGACGGTGTTGAATCATGAGGCTGGTCGTAATGACTCTGCTCAGGTTGTCATATTAGTTATTGGGTTAAGTGCTGTTTGGCAGAGCTGCTTAGCAGAGTTCTGGAGCGGCTGTCGTCCCCGCTGTGGTTTTAAAAGCTGTGCACTGCTGTCAGTGTGAGAAATAACCGTCTGTACGAGCCCTAAAAACTCCTCAGATTTATGAAACACGCCTCAGACGCTCTGAAAGCAGTCATATTTACAGTGCTTAGTGTTTCTGCTCATATTAAATCCCTGAGGTTTGTCTTCTTCTTCGCCGTGAGACGGGGATCTGATTCTTCACAGCAATATAATTATCAAAATAATAGCTCTGCGTTTGTTTCAGTGTTTCAGAGTGTGGAAGCACTTCGCTGTCAACAGTAATTACCTGGAATATATTTTCACACATCATTTGCTAAAGCTGCAAGACAGCCTGATAAAACTCATTTGACAAGAAATGTGACTTTCTTTGCTTATATATCTATTAGCTTCTTAACTTAATTTAAAACTAATGTTTTGTCTTATAAATTTATGACAGAGACACAGATCTTTTTTCTGATTATTTAGCTGAAATATTGGCTTTGAGAGCCATGGTTTTGTAATCTTATTACTAATAACTACAATAAATTGCTCCGGTTCTGGTTTAAATAATCTTTCAGAAGCTTAAAATTTGCTTCCTGCAATTCCGTTTAAAAAAAATATATATATATATATATACACATGTATGTGTGTGTGTGTGTGTGTGAGTGTGTGTGTGTGTGCGAGTGTGTGTGTGTGTGTGTGCGCGTGAGT